GCCCCCCCCCCCCCCCCCCCGCAACTCAGCCGCGGCAGTTATTTGTGTTAATTTCGCTAATTGGCAAGAAGATGACTCTTCTTCCACTACAAAAAAAAAAAGATATTGACAACACAAGAACATACACACACACACACATACATACATACAAAAATACCCTCTCAATCGTACGAATTTTTGCCCTCAGGTTCCCAACCATTTCTTCTTATCTATCTCTCATAGATAAATCAAAAAAAAAAAAAACAAGAAAGATAAAAGAAATTAGGACAAGAACAAATATATATATATATATATATATATATATATATATATATATATATCTTTGCATCCACTCGTCATAGCTTCATCCTCACACAATTAACTTCTCTCCTACCGTGGGAATAATAAAAAATGTCTACTCCCTCCTTTTATGCTGCTGCTACGATATTAATGACGTTCTCTTCAGAGAGGCCGGTCCCGCGCCTTTGCGGTCTCATCTTTCCTCAGTACGCACACGCAAAATCAGTGGAACAGACAACGGCCCCTGCGGTCCGACTCTAACTCTTCCCCACCTACCCACCCCCTCGAATTCACTTTTGCAAAAAATACACAAACAGCAAAAAAAAGCGATGCTCCAATAATATTTCCTACCCCTCCCCCCACCTGATCCCATATTTCTCCTTCCTCTTCCCCTAAGTTCTACACGACCACTAAATTGGTGCAGTAAAGGTGTTAAATGCTGCGGCGCTAATGATGATGCTCTGGAGGTGTTTGGCGGCGAATGTCTGGCTGTGGATCTCCCGGTTCCCACAAGTAGCTTGCAAGGAAATTGGAGCCACCCCAACGGACCTCCAACTTGTTCTCCGCTACTTCCTCACGCATCTTTTCGTACCGGATCGCATGATCTGGGTCGTCCAGGTCCAACTGCCTAAAAAAGGTATTCGAGTACAGGGCCCGTTTACCCACGGTGGCAACGCGCGTGCGTTGGGCAAATGATAAGTCAAACGCCCAATACAATAAAAAGGGGAAAAAGATTCCATACATGAAGAAAAGTTGGCTCTTCGAATCCTTCACTTTTCCAAACGGTTGACCCCACCAACCGGGGTTGATGGCAATGGGGTAAAACGCAGGAATGTTGCCGTCGCCATGCTGTCCTGGAACGCGTGCGTACTTTCGGCACACACGCGACATCATGGAGTTTCGCCTCGACTGCATTCCGGGGCCTCCGCACTTCAAACGATGTTTAACACCCCTTCCACCCCACACCCTCACTGAAAGGGAATGAGCGCAGCCACCCAAACAAAACAAAACATGGGAACAGAAATAATATTCGATTCAATCAAAAAGTAAAAAAAAAAAAACATAAAAAAAGGGCTTAAAAACAAAACAAATGGGTCACGGAAAACTCACATTTTACAACAGATGCCGCACGCACCTTTTGTCACCATGCCAGTAGAAAATGAAAACGCTGTCGTACACGTATACAAATACAAGCACAAATACACCTGCGTCGCGAGAAGAAAAAAACAAAAAAGAAAAAGGAAACATAAATAAATTTAATAACAGCAGAACCAAAAATAAAAATTTTCTTTTCCTTTTATTTCCTCACTTCAAACGCAAAAAAAAAAAAAAAAAAACAATCAAAAATGTAAAAAACAAACAAACAAACAAAGAAGGCATCGTCAGCCCATACACAACTCGGGTTGCAATTCTCTACGCATAACTAAAGGCAAACATGTGCAAAACTCAAAAAGAACCAATCTCGCCCAGTTCAGCCTCCTTGCAGCATCAACGCAGCGCGACGAGCCAAAATTGCCGCGTTCCAAACAAACCAAAGATGTATAAATAACAGGCTATAAAGGCATCATTGTTGGGGTGTTCCTACAGGTCTAGAAGAAGACAAATCAGCATCCATGGAAATATCACGAATGATTGATACCGGAGCGCTTCCAATATCTCTGCTTTGTCGACTACGTACACTGCTCACAGGTGGTGCCGCCGCAGACGATGCTATCGGCCGAGGAGGAACGGTGGTGGGTGCGGGAGGAGGAACACGGTATTCCACATGGATTAAATCCTCATCCCTTTTCGCAAGACGTGGCGGCGTATACATAGGCTCCATCTTACGGTCCTCAAAATTATGCGGGGCCATGTACGGCAAATACCCAGTATTATTTAAACTGGCTTGTTGAAGATGCAACCGAACACGATCGTCCACCGCGAGAGATATTTCTGAAACAACATCCTTCAAAAAACCATCCAATTTGGCTATAGTTTGCGCCTCGGTGCGCTTCGCATGTTTTTGAAGCTTTGGAGCCACAACACTCTCCACAAACGAACGAAGGGCATCTTCAGGAAAGTCCACAGAAACCTGGTGGCGAGAAACTCGATGTAACTTCTCATGTGACCGCAACTGCAGTTGTTGTTTTGCCGACAAAGTCTCGGCTGCAGTAACTCTCTGCTCCAATTCGCGTCTTCTTTCGGAAGCTTGTTGAAGAAGTAGCCTCTTAATCATAGTCAAATCTTCTCGCTGATGATTCATGCTTTGCGTGAGGGAGGCGACAGCTTGCTCCAGTGCACACAGACGGTCGTTGAACCCTCGCGAAACTTCCGCTGCGCCGCCAGCCTGTGCCGCATGTCCAGGAGTCACAGTTTCCGATCGCTCCTGTGTAATACCATACGAAGGAATTCTATTCATAGCAGTACTACCTTGTCTTTCGGTAGGATCACGTAGTGTCGGTGACGTGGTTTCTTCATCCTCTGCATCTTCTTGTTGAAACACCACCGTGGGTTCCTGTGGAACGTAGAGTAACATGTTTTTATTTGGTGTTACTGTCTTTATGGGGTGCAGAGCACGGATATCCTCATCCAGTTCTTTGAGTAACACACTCATTCGTGCCGGTGATCCCTCCTTATTTTTGGGCAAAGTTAACTCGGTGCTGCGAGCGGCTCGAAACCGGGTACCAGGATCATTGGCAAATAGAACCACATTGTTCATATACGTAGGCCCTGGGCCAAACGTCTCTAATATCTTAACTCGAACAAACAAATGCTTCGGTGGAATCGCATTAGGCAACTTCCACACTTGTGTTCCGGCACCGGAGACGGCCTGGCATATCAGCTGCGCCACCATGTCCTCAGTAGACTCACCGGATGCAATCTCCACCGTCTTTGGGTTTGTGAGGTAGTCATGCCAAACATGCCAACCAACATAACGCAGAGTTGGATGATGAGGAGAAAGTTTTAACGTTACATGTTGCGGCGCGTCAGAAGTAATCCAAAGAAGATCCTCGCGCTCCACAAGAAGATTGGAGGCCGCGCTTGCAACATGGGCTGCCTCGTGCGAAACCTCTACCACTTTGGCCCCATTTTCACTCAGGGCCCAGTTCTTCATCGTGAAGACCGGATATGCCCTTCCTTCAGTTGACAATGAATGGGGGGGGACAAAACCACAAGTATCGTTTTGTGTTGTTTGAGCGGAGTTGGGAACATAAAAGAGAGAGAGAGAGAAAGAAAAAAAAAGGAAAGAAATTGCTTTCGTAGAATAAACCAAAAAAAAAAGCGACAACCATAAAAAGAACAGCTTAAATATCGCGCAAATCCAAGATCAAACAAAATAAGTAATGATGATAATGAAACCACGGTGCAAAAATGACAGAAAACCCCTCATACACATGAGAACAGGAACAGTCAAACAAAAGTATCGCCGCAAATGTCATTATGTATACAATATTTTTTTGTTTGTTTGCGTCCCTGTGTAAAGGGTTAGATGTCTGTCTAAAATACATATACGGAGGCTAATTACACATCGCAAGCCGAAAAGATGGAAATAATAAAACAACAGCAACAACAATGAGGAGTTAGAGACCGCACACTCCCAATTTGTCATACACGCAGAAATAGAGAAAGAGAGACTGTCGTGTAAATGTCGCCATTTTCCCACTTCTTTTTTCGTTCGGTCTCTTTGTGCTGTCAAAGTCCTTTTCCATCTGCAGCTCTCCCCTTCTCCCTCTCTCTCTCTCTCTCCCGATTCTTCCTTCCATTCAGCGTTAAAAAACAAGAAACACAGCCTTGTCCACAGAAATATATGTGCGCGACATGCCTTCTTGAAATACCACTTCTTCTCTCTCTCCTCCTTGTTCAACCTTTTTGTCTTTCTTTCTCTTCTACACACAATACACATGTCGCCCAGGAACGGGCCGACCCATGATTTGCGGCGAAAGTGATCTTGCGTCAGAAGAAGAGATTTTTGGTTCAGCAGCTGAGGGTGGTGATGGTGATTCACATCCCATTTCATGCTGACGCTTTCTGTGTGCCAGAAATGCAAAGTAGTTTGCTTGAGAGGCCAATACTTCGCCACACCCTTTATCTCGTTTTACCATCAACGCTGCGTTCGGCAAGAGGTTTGGTACACTGGCTATGTAGCTTTGGTTATGGATTGTACCTGGAAGGGGAGCAAAACTTGGTACCACCTGAAACCACTGCTTCTTCCCCCCAGCTACCACTGGCCAGCTAGGTTTTTGATCGGCAGGCATCATAAAATTTCTGACCTTTACCTTGCGTTTGTTTTCTGGCAGTTGCGGGTATTGAATGATGCCTTTCTGTGGCTCCTGTCCAGCATAAATCGCACACATCTCGGGGGTAATTATGGGCGGCTTTTCTACCCCCTTGGAAGCGTTCTTTCGAATAAAAAGGAGCGGCGGAGGTCCCGCCTTGGGTTTTGGTGCTTCAATAGGCGTCTCCTCCCCAGCAAACGCCACTTCTTTGGTTTCAGCCACCTTTTTTATATCTTTTCCCCCGGTCCATCGGCGTAGGCTTTTCTTTGCATTGGAGTCAGGGCCTGGGGGCCGCGACGTCAATTTCGGTAAATTTTTTCTCTTTGAGCCGCTTGTGTCATTCGTAGAAAAAAATGCTGATGATCCGCTTAGTATACTTGCATGCGATCCCGAGAGATCACCGGCGGCGCGTCCGCGCCTACTGCCTGTTGCTGTGGAACGCTCGTGTGATTGGCCACTCCCAGCATACCTGCGTGAGTGAGATGCGGCACTCTTTTCCTGAGAGGGACTCTTCTCAATTCCCAAGCCCTGTTTTGTGAGGCGTTTCTCGGGTGGCAGAAAAGAACTCATGGGTGGCAGTTTCGCCACCACAATGGATGGCAAGCAAAGAGCGTGCATCTGCGTTGTACGGGCAAGCATCAGAATCGAGTTTTGTAACGACTTTGGTAAACTGTTAAATTCCGTCCGTATGGTCAAGGTGGGAATAGCCCAGAGCTCGACGGTGTTGGTCGTCTCCCATCCATTCGGCCACTTCTCCAAAAGAAGTCCTTCCCATCCACCACCGACGGTGCAAATAAAGTTCTTTGCGGGGTTCGGCGGAAGTGGTGGTGTGAGTTCATGCTGCTCGTCCGGATAAATGACGCCACTCGAGAACTCACCCTT